CTCTCGGCGCAAGATGCATGGTCGTTGCGTTATAGATCGCAGTCTGTACGAGGGCGCGTTCTCTGAAGTGCGCGTGTTTCGAAAACCCTGCACACCTGGATCACGGTCTCCGTGAACGCATGTGTGGCTGGAACCACCCGAATTCAGAAGTGAAAGGCCCCACGATCAATGACAGAATCCAGGTCCTGGATTTTTGAAGACCGCAGCGGTCAACCCGAATTTGAGAATTGTGCATTTTTTGTGGCTGTGTTGGCAATGTCTCTGCAATAGGACGAGTTCTGTGGCTCAGGGTTTTAGAGATTAGTCGTTTTGCGTTGGGCTTCGGGTACGGACACTAGTTTGCCATCAGGTGCGGCGTCTGCGGAATCCGCTTGTGCTCCGCTTCGATGGAGGCACCAAACGTCGAGCAAGTTTTGAACACTTTGATGATTTTGGTGGCTCTTTGTGTGTTGAGCGTATTTGCGTATATTTGCATCTGGTGCAGGGGCACCAGTGTGGGGAGCCTCGGCTTGCAGACAGAAGGGTTCAAGGTTAGGGGGTTTGGGCCTGGTGCATGTTTTTTTTTTGGCTGTGGAGGCCAGGCGCGTTTTTTTTTTGCTGTTCAGGCCTGCCGCTTTGTTTTTTTGTTTTGCTGTGGAGGCTTTTTTTGCTGTGGAGGCCCGAGGCCTCGCGAGATTTCATAGGGAGAAAATTACGATTTTCATCCAAAAACAAAAAACACAAATTTTCTCTATTTTGGAGAGAAAACTCAGGTTTTCCTCCCAAAATAGAAAATATAGAGATTTTTCTCTACTTTATAAAGAGAAATTTACGTTTTCCTCCTAAAATACAGAAAACATAGAGATTTTTCTCTATGTTACAGAGAAGGACGCCTGCTGTGTTTTTGGTTTTTTGCTGTGGAGGCCGGGCGCGGTTTTTTTGGCTGTTCAGGCATGCCGCGTTTTTTTTGTGCTGTGGAGGCTTCTTTTGCTGTGGAGGCCAGAGGTTTCCTCCTAAAATAGAAAAAATGGAGATTTTCTCTGTTTCTCTATTTCATGGAGAAAACTTTCCGTCTCCACAGCAAAAAGCCGCAACAGCAGAAAAAAAGCCTCCACAGCAACAAAAAACACGCGCCCGGCCTCCACAGCAAAAAGAAG